TTACCTCCTAATGCGAGCAGTGAAGAAAAAGCTAAATATAAGTTTTGTAAGACTGTCGCTTGCTATACATTGGAGAATAATATTTCCGAGCAAGAGTTAGCAAAAAGATTAGAGGTTTCTCATTCCAAAGTGGAAAAAGTTATCTTTTGTCATATTGATGAACTTGATTTAAAAGAACTGGTGGACTATGTTGCCAAATTGTCTTTGCCGTGGGAAGTAAAAGTTAATAGCAAATATGCCTGAGAATTGGAACAATCAACAAAGCAAAAAGCCCCCGCAGAAGCCCGCTAATTTAAGACCTTACGATTACAGAATTAGGATTAATTGGCAGAGGTTCACTAAATTAGAAATCAGTCCTTATTATGAGAAGCACAATAAAGAATATTTGGAAGCATTAGAGAAAAAAGGGATTGTGTTGAGTAAAGCGGAATTAGCCGAAAAACTAATCACTGATGTTTTGATTATGAATGTTCTGTTGCCTCAATTAGATGGAGAAAGAGGGATTATTTCGGAAGGTAGATATTACAATTGGACTTATTACTCTCGCCGAACTTTTAAAGAAACTGAAACTAAAATAAAAGCCTATAAATTGGTTTGGTGTGTGGCTGACGATGAACCACATATTTTAGGATTAATGGATTGCTATCGCCAAAGTAAGTATGATAAAAAGAAGTAAACTTTTATTAAATAAAATAATTATATAACATGTCTCGTCTCGTCCCGTCTAAATTAACCAAAATAGTAATCACAGGCAATAAAGGGGGAACAGGAAAAACCACTATCGCTGCCTTACTGGCTGAGTATTTGATTTATCAGAAAAAAAAAGTCAATTTAATTGATGCTGACCCCAACCAAGCCTTTCAGTCTTGGATAAATAATTGTCAGGAGGAAGGTCGTCCCGTCTCGTCTCGTTTACCAGTTGATTATCAAATTATCGATACTGCCGGAGTAAGCGGCGGCTCGGAAACTTATCTCAAACGAGCCGATATAATGATAGTTCCTTTTATCCCTCACTATGTAGATTTACAAGTGATTATCCCCTGATTTAATTCTTTGCCTTGGGAAAGAAAAGAAAAAGTTTTTTTTCTCCCTAATCGCTACCAAAAAACCAAGGAGCAGCAAGAAGGCTTAAACCAATTAAAAGACGAGACGGGACGAGACAAGAAAGCAGGGATAATTTTGCCTCCGCTTTCCTCTCGCCCTGCTCTCTATGGTTCGGTGCTTAATGGCAGTAAAGATAACTTTTTTACCAAACCAGAAAGCGAGCAAGTAAAAAAAATATTCCAGGAATTATTTAACCATTATGAGAAAAATAAAAAGTCAAGTTAGAGTTGTTAAAACTACCCAAACTGCGAAAATTACTTTTGCCCTAAATGCTGATTTGTGCCAACGGGCAGAAAATTGGTTAAATTCCCAGTGAGTTCAACAGAATTACGCTTATTCGGGTTTATCAGAGTTAATTAGAAAGAGTTTAGTGGCTTATCAGGAGGGAGAATTAAATATTAATCTCACCGAACGAGACAAGCATGCTCCAAAAAGAGAAATTACTATTCGCTTTTTTAATGTTGATTTACTGAATTTTTATTATTCCTTGCCATATAGTCAAAGAACCGCCATTATTGAGGAAAGTTTAGCGGGTTATTTGGATAAAATAAGTAGTGAGAATAAGTAATGAAAAAATGAAAACAAAAATTAATCAAAAAGAAAAATTTTGTGTGGTAATTGTCTGGGACAAAGAAAGTCAGAAATGCCTGTCCGCAAGCGCTATTTGTGAACTGAATATAAAAAGCGGGGTTATTGAGAGATTAATTAATGGAAAAAATAAATAATTATGACTAAAAAAACCCATGAAATCAAAAGAAAGAAAAAGAAGCAACCTTTAAGGAGGGGAGAGGAACATCACAAAATAAAATAGTTAAATACTTACACAATAGGCGTTATTTTGATTGAGAATTAATTTTCTTTTCCTGCTGATAATAATCTACTCGTTTTCCATTCATCATAATAAAATAATTTCCGTAAAAATTGGTTTGGGTTTTACTATCATGACAAACTAGTCCTTCTGTTCTTAAATCGTGCTGACAATAATCACAATAAATTATTGGTTTTTTATTTTTAGCAATTATATTTATTTTCTCACTTTTCATACTCAATTCAGTGTTGTTCGTATTTAGGACAAATATATTTCTCCGCAGGGTCTTGCTGGGCTTTTAAGCAATCTCAACAACCATTCTTAAAATTACTTGGGACATAGTTTTTAGGTGGTTCATGTTCGAAACAATAAGCAGTTTCGCAGTCAATTTCTTTTCTTTCATGTAGAACTTCAAACGCATATTGAATGGTTTGGTCGTTCCCAATGGCTTCTCCGCGGCAACGATAGGGGGAATTTTCAATAATCCAAAGTAGTTTTTCCGTTGACATTCTTTTTACTTGCTTTTTGTTTAAATTAGCAGGAAGGGCCATTATTTAAAAGATAATTGTTGAATATTTGTTTCGGTTTCTTGCTCTTGCTGAATTAACGCTTTTAGGTGTTTATTTTTAACCTTTAAATTACTGTTTTCGGTCTGGATTTGGGTTAATTGCTCCTCTAAATTTCTAATTTTTTCCAGTAAGATTTGTTCTTTTTGGTTAAATCTTTCCTCATTGTTGGCGGTTAGTGCTAATAGTTGACTATTTTCCGGTTGGTTGCTTTTTGGCTTAATGGAGTTTAAGGAAAATTTTCCTTGGATTTTAGGAGAAATTTCGTTGGTTATTGCTTTGGGTTGGTAATTAGTAATGGTCAGACTTTTTTTGGTCGTGCTAATTAGTAAAAAATTATTCGGCTGGCTTGTTTCTTTACCGCTAATTATTGGCTTTTCTCCTTTAATGGCAGGTTCAAGGATTTTTGGTGTCTGTGGAAAATTTTCCGTGATTGGTGATTTTCTTTTACCGGCCAAAATGTCGTCAAAATCTTTTTCGTTAACCGGTATTTTTCCCGCAAAAGGTTTTTCATAAGGATTTCGCCAATATAAAATGGTAGTTCTAATACTGTCGTGTCCTAATAATTTTTGTAAAATTAGCAACGGCATCCCTGAATTAGCGTGATAAGTAGTAAAGGCCCGTCGTAAAGTATGCGGAGTTAATTCAACCTTTTTATCAATATTCAATTCTCGCTTAATTTTTTGTAAAAATCAATAAAAAGTTCAGCGATTAGTTTGGTTCGGTTTTCAGTTGTTTTCTTTTAGTTCTTTAACGATTTTTTTGGGAACATAAACCAACCTTTCCTTTTTGCCCTTGGGTTTCTCTATCTGATATAAGCCGTTTTTGTCTTTTTTGGCTAAATCAAATCTTATCGCTTCGCTAATTCGCAGGCCTGATTTATAGGCTAAAAGATAGCAGCAATAATGAACTTTCCTTAAATATTCCCCCTGTCGGTTGGGAATATTTTTTATTTGCTTTCTCACTAGTCCTAATTCGGTTAAACTGGGGAGCATAAATTTAACTTCTTATATGTTTTGTTTTATCGCCCAAGCAGTTTTTATCACTGCTTCCCCGATACCCCAATTAATTCCGAGGAATTAATTTCCCCTTTCCAAATTTAGGCAAATTTTCTTATTTTTGCTGTATTCTAATAGCAATAATTAATCTGTGATAATGCTCTATTTTTTCGGCTTGCTTCGGCTTTTTAGTGCCAATTTCTACTTCCCTAAATTTCAAATCTTTTTTTGTAAGTTTCCCAGTCAATTCTTTACTCTCTTTTACTCTTTTTTCAACATTTAACGACTTTTTTTAGGTTTTTTACTTTTCGCAGGAGGCATTACTCCCTCGTTATTATTTATTACTCATACTTATTATTGATTAATTTTATTTTGACTTAAACCCTGCTTTTTGGAACTCGTTCCAAAATGGAAAAAAAAGGTTTTTTCCAATTTCCCAGAGACAATTTGGGAAATAGCCTTTTTATTTATTTTTCTTTTTTTAAGTATGAATAATAAGTTCATAAATAATAACGGAGTAAACCTCCTTCATACGAAAAACAAAAAAACCAAAGTTGAAAGCCAAATTGAGATGTTGAAAAACCAAGAGCAAGAGATTAGCAAAGAATTGTGAAGTTGAGAAACTAAACAAAAAAAAGCCGAAAGATTGGTGAATTACTTGGACGAAGTAAACAGATTTAGCACTAAATTCCTCGCCGAAGCAGTAGCAGCTGAAAAAGAGAATTTTGATGATTACTACTGATTAGAACGCTTATTAAAAAATAAGGTTCAATTTTCCCTTCAATTTGAACCAGCCAAAGAGGCTTTTTATCAACTAGTTTTCCAAAAAATAGAAAACCAAGTTAAGCATCTAAAAAGCCAACTTCGGACTATTCAAGAGCAATTATCTCGTCAGGAACGATTATTTGCTCGGATTGAAATCCGTCGGCAAGGTCGCACTCTTTTAGATTGTAAATTGAATAATAGACTGGGTTGTCTCGGCGTTTATCAGTGCGATAATTGCCAAACTAACTACTCCGTAACTGCTGACAATAATCAAGCCACAGAAATTTCTCAATAATCATGGGAGCAGTTGAATTAAAATTTCAAGGAACTTTTAATAAGTCTGATTATTTACAAGAATTTTCCTGCGGCATTTGTCAGCAATATATTACGGAGCAGGATATTTGTCAGAGCAATTATCGCCTTTATGTGAGTGATTATGCTAACGAAGTTAGTAAGGATGAGTTTGTCTCTGAATATTCAGGACAAAAACTCATTGCCTACGGCTTAAACTTCTGATTAAAAGCCGTAGAACATTTGGAATGTCCGGAAGGGGAGGGTTAATCCCTCCTCTTTTCCCCTTTTTCGCACATCTGCGTTTGTGCTTAATCCTGTTCGTGGCAATTTCTAATTCAGAGATGGTTAGTAGTGCCGTCTTTGAATCAAAATACCAACTTATATTTTTTGTTATCATAATGAACTCTTTTGCGAATAAAAACTTTTCTTTTGCCTTGATAATTAGCCGGCTTGGCTTTGTGGTCGTTTAGTTCTTTATTGAGAATATTCAAAATTAGTTCTTTGGTAATCTTTTCTCGGCCTTTTTTCTTTCAAGGATGGTCGGTAATGGTTATTTCGTTAATTTCCAACTTATTAAAAGTAAATTGGAATTGGATAGAATAAGTTCACCGTCATTCTTTATCAATTTCCTTTTCCTCAATTAACTTAAACAGTTCGGGCATGTATCGTGTCTTTTTCGGGTTCAATAATTACTTTTACTTGCGAAGGAGAGAAAAGTCGCCCCGCATAAGTAATTAAGCGGTCGAGGGTAAAGTAATCAATATGACAATATAAAATGTCCCTAGTCTCCCCCGTAGTCAAGTGAATTTTTTGGGCTATTTCTTTATCGGATAAATTATTGTCTTGCTGATAACCTAATATTTTTTGACAAAGTTCGTATTTGGCTTTTTCCAGCGGAGTAGGATTTTCCGGTAATCCCCAAGAAGCATCTGCATCGTCATATTCCGGTTTCTCTATTTCGGCCAAATATTCTTTGAAAGGTTTTTCTTGTTTGATTTTAGTCATAATTACTATTATTATTAATTTTTTTTATATTTCTTATGGTTTGGTTTACCATAATACTTTTTTTTAACTTGAATTTTTCTTACTGCTAAAATTTATTCCCGACCTCTTTCTAATTTTATTCCTCCCCTTTCTGACATCAACTTTGCTTATTTGGTGTGGATTAAGTTAATTTTTGCCCCAATTTTCAATTTATTACTCCCATTAGGGGTAATTATGAGAGGATTATTTGCTTATTTTTTATATTCTATTTATTACTCGGAACAATCGGAACAATAAAATATAATATATATAGTAAATATGCCTAAAGTGATAAGCGAAACGAAAACCAACACTATAAATAGTGTTTTGGTGGATAATAAGACCACACCAAAATCTAAAAAAGAAATAGATAAGGAATATTATCAAAAAAATAAAGAACGAAAGAAAGAACAACGCCGAGAAAGATATCAACAACAAAAAGAACAAGCCGAATTAGCCATTAAGAAGCAATTCGCTAAATATTACGGAGCGGAAGCAATTAAGATATTAATGACATTTAAAGAATGAACCGAATTGAATAAGGAAAAAAAGAAATTGTGGCAAGACTTCAATTGAACTTTAAAAGATTGCCAGGGAGCAATAAAAGAGGGGCTTGGAGATATAGTGGCAATTATGAAATTAGCCCAGGTAGCCGATAATTTAATTAGGGATTATTGAGAAACGGCCAAAAGTAAAGAAAGGAACGATAAAAGAAGTTGAAATCTTTTAGATTACGACCAACAACAAAAATTAATCCGTTATTGAGCCTATGAAAAAGCCCGCATTGAAAATGGATATATAGATACTGCCGAGCAATTGGAAAGGCAGAGCAAGGAATATTTAAAAGATATTGAAAGAGCCAAACGACATGAGGAATTAGGAAAAGAATATTGTAAGTGTTCTTATTGTGAGTTAGAGAAGCAATTAAGGAACGAGGTAGCAGCAGAAAGAAAGAAAATTATTGATGATTATGAGAAGGAGCAGAAAAAAAGTGGAGAAAACGAAGCAAAAAAAGTAAGAGCCGATTGTGGCAATTGCTACGAAAATAAAAAAGTTGACCCAGAAACGGGGCTATGTGAAAAGTGTGAGAAAGAAAAAGAAAATGAATAACCAGAAAAAGCAATTATTAAGAAAACTTTGGCAGTGAATAAAAGTTATTTTCAACAGCGGACTTGGCTAATAGTTCGGCCATCTGTTCCTTTTTCACTGATTTACTAACTACTTATACGGAAAAATTTGCTGAAAGTAAAAAGATAGATATTTGCGTCTGACCGTTAATATTTGGTGGTTTTTATTGAGATAAAAACATTGGTAATGGTCGTGGGGAGATGGGTCGCTGTTCGTCTTATTCTTATCCTAATAGAAAAATTGAAATTAGCCTTAATCAGATATATTTATTAAATAAGTTCGGACATGACCGCTATTTTACCAGCAATCCCGAAATAAGTGGAAATTATTCTTATTTAGATATCAGTTTTGACGAAATGCTTGCTACCTGTTGCCATGAAATAGCCCATTATTTTCAATTTGTTAAGCATAATAAAAGCAGTTGTGAGAGTGATTTAAAGTTGAATAATGGCGAATATCACGGAGAATTAGCGAGAGAGCATGAGGAATGGACGGGGGAGATTTATTGGTTAATTAAATCTGAATATTCAGAGTGGGAGAGGAGATGGGGAGGGATTGGTTAATAATTGGCTCAGACCTCAATTATTAGGGGGAGTGATTAAACTCCCCTAACTTGTTATTATCTTTAAGAAATTTACCAATTCTTTGGTGGAATTTCTTGCTGTTGTTGAGTTTCCGTTAAATATTCTTGGTGAGAATAATATTTCGGTCTCCGGTCAATTCTGACATGTAAATAAGAAATTCCTAGACCACTAGTTGATAACCAACGAGTAGCCCCATTAGCATTAATCAAGTTTTCTTCCATTTTCTCACCGACTTTTTGTCAAAGTGTTTCCCATTGTTCCATCCGAGAATTATCAGTGAATTTACTAATATTTTTATAATCAGCACCCTTCGGAACTGGGACAATTAGCGTATCGCCACTAAAACTTAAAAAACTTACTGCTTGGTTATCACTGCTTTTTCTAAAATGTTCTTGGAAACTGGAATAATCTTGCCTAATGCTATTTAAGGCTTCTGATTTAACCAATACAAACTCAAACTCTTTATCAATTGTGTTGCTTGACACCGGAACGCACTCTCAAAAATAGGCTGACATTTCTGCTGATGCTCTATTTAATTCATCCCTGAATGTTCTTAAAAAGTTTTCATCTTTTACTTTTAAAATGTTAATAAAATCTCGATAAGTTAGTTTACCACTCTCCGAATTAACGGTATATTTTATTGTATTATTGCTTATTATACTTTTATTAAATTGGTAATTCATATTATTTTACTTTATTTTATTATTTATTTTTATTTTTTCTTGCCTTTTTTATAACTAAAATAGAAATTAAACCTAATACTGCTAATAAAACTCCTCCTACCACCAAACTAGTAGGGAAATTATTGTTAGTTGGTTGTTGTTGAGTATCTTTGGAATCAAAAATTCTCTGAATTTGCTCTAATTTTTGCTGATTTTGTTGTAATCTATTTTGTCGTTCGGAACTAGTTAAATTTTGGTTATTTCTTAACCTTTCATTTTCAGATTTTAGGCGGTTGATTTCAGCGATAAGTTGTTCTTTGGTTCAACTATTATAACTATCTTGAAAAGGATAATAACTAGTAGATTGTCTTTGAGCCACTTTTGCTTCCCTTATCTCTTTAATATTGGAAAAAATTTCCCTCTTATAACCTTCAATTGCTTCTTTAAATGTTTTTCTTTCAATTACACTTTTTCATTGGTGGAATTCTGGGTCTAATTCAAAAGCGGAAACTCCTGGACTTTTGGCTAATTCACCATTAATCTCAGAAATCGCCTGCTCTTTTAAAGCAGAAAGATTAACATATTGAATTTGAGGTCGCTCATGTCTATTTTGATTAGCATTTTCCGTTAAATATTCTTGGTGTTCGTAATATTTTGGTCTACTGTCAATTCGCATATGACAATAATTAACTGCTAACCCATGAGTATTTAATCATCGCACAGCACCGCCACCATTATTTAAACTTCTTGTCATTTCCTCACCTATTCTTTGCCAAAAACTATTCCACTGACACTGCGGAGCATCAGTAGAAAATCCTGCTATATCTTTATAATCGCGTATTTCATTATCGCTGTAATCACAATCATATTGATGACCTATAACAGGAATAGGAGAAACTAAAACTGCATCTCTGCTTAAACTATTAAAACTTACTACATCGCTACTCCCACTTCTATTAAAATGCTCTTGAAAAGGAGAGAAATTTTGTTGTTTTCTCTTTAATTCCGGAGAGTTAACCGCTACAAATTCAAAAGGCTTATTAATTGTTGCTCTTGAAACAGGAACACACTCTCACAGATAAGATACTAAATTAGGTTCAGTTAACTCCGCTTTTATTATAGTCAATACATCCCTAAATGTCTTTAAAAAATCATTATCTCTACTTGTTAAAAGGTT